TAGTGATTTTCAATTTTACAATAATTTTAGGTGAGCCTTATTAAGAAGAATTATTTTTTCGCTTTTTTATATTATTGAAATAAATGTTTGTTTACAGTTAACTAAATAAATGTTTTAATATTATACGATTGAAGGAAAAATAGAAATGACCATTTAGTTTGTAATTTTCACAACATATAATAATAATTGTAAAAGTATTGTTTTTTAAAAAATTAATAAATAACATGTCGTATCAGTTCTACGTCTCACTCCGGTACAATATTTGACAGGGAAGTACACCCTCGTCTCGGCAATATTCTAATAAGAAAAATACTGATTTATAAAAAAAAGAATAAATATAATTTATGTAAAATAATATATATATACAGTATATTTTTTTTTCAAAGATACGTTGATATGTGTATTTGATATATTTGTCTTATATTCATGTCTTTTCTTTTCATGTATCCACGGGAAATGAGTAGTTAATTTTGCAGGAAGATTCTACCGTAAACATTCTATTATCATTCGAAAACCAAGATTCTAATTTTGTCATCAATTTGTTGATCGAATTTTCTTTTTTTTCTTTTTTTTCCAATATGACTACGGTAATTTGTATGATTACTTTTTTTGTACTAAAGTAGTACGTATATGCAGCTACACAACATTACCGATTAACACAAAACCCCGTCGAATGTGTTGAAGCAAACAAAATAATTAGGATTGGAGACAATAAGCACAAATGGAACAATCTTTAAGAACATAAAAATCAATGAATGTTTAAAAAAGTAGATATGGCAAATAGACAATCATCCAAATGTTATATATTCTACCGGTATTCACGCGTTCTCGTAAAGTTTTAATTTTTGGTTTTTCCTCGATATACAATTTCTGTCAATTTCGATGAATAATATCGACCTTTCCAACAGTGAAAAAACAAGCAGTTAAACTACACGGAGAAAGTAACAAATTTTTTATTTATTATATTTGAACAAAAAAATTACAGTATAAGGAGGAAATAAAAAATGGTTGGCCATTTTAAGTGGAACGAAAAGAGTGATGAGTTTTTCGTTTGGGTTAACATATCCATGCATCTTTTTTTATGTCGTCTATTTACATCTGATATAAAGATGTTTCGCAGTCTTTAGATCAAATTTTCATTAAACTTTTAAGAAGAGAGGAAAATCATAGACTCATATATTTTCGTTTGGGACGATGCTTCTTTTTTTCGTGACGTCGTCTATTATGTTCTAACGTAAAGGATGTTTTGCAGTCTTTATATCGGCAGTACACTAGAGAAGAAACCAATTTTCGTTAAACTTTTAAGACGGCTCTTAATTAACGAGAAACTAATCATAGACTCACGTTTTTCACCGGAATGAGACTTTATGTGATTTTTTAACTGGCTCGGATAATTGAACAATTTTCTGCATTTAAGACATATGCGTTTCTGAACGAGTTTACGGATATTTGGCATATTTAAGACTTCTTTGTCAATAAAACGGACAGAAGTAAGTTTGTTATTTTCTTCAATACGATAAACCACATAATATTGATTTAACAAGTTTAAGCTGATGTGACCCGTGTTTTCGGATGCGCCCAATGAGCTCAAGCTTTCTCCAATGTGGCCCGTATATTCTGCTGCACCCAACGAGCTCAAGTTTTCTCCAGTGATGTGACTCGTGTTTTCGGCTACGCCCAGTAAGCTCAAGCTTTCTTCTTCGATGTAACTCGTGTCTTCCGCTACATCCGTGTTTTCGGCTACATCCAACGAGCCAAAGCTTTCCCCAATGATGTGGCCCACGTTTTCGTCGATAAAATCTAATGAATGCAAGCCTTGTTCGGCAACATAACCCGTCTCGTCAACGAAGCTTGACGAGTCCAGAGCTCCTACATTATTATAATTCGAGTTTTCGGCGAAGTTTGGCGAACTTAAGCTTCCTTCATTAAATCGACTCGTATTTTCGACGAGGCTTGACAACATAAAGCCTCTTCCAGCGATATATCTCATATTTTCGATGTCTATTAAATTCAAACTTCTTCCTGTGATATATCCCTTAATAATACCCGAAACCAGTGCGTTGCTGTCGAAACATACAATCACATATAGGCTGGTTTCTGAACATGGTGTGGAAATATCGATGGAGTTGTTAAGGGTATATACACCAGAGCCGTCTCCACTTGCGGAATGGAGAGTTATATCGATAGTAAGGTTTTTTGGGTATACTTCAGAGCGTGTCATTTTTACCTACAACGGCAATGCGAGAAGGTTGCGATCTTTAATGACCTTATTCTAATATATTTCTGTGATTTGGCCGGTAAATTGTATTGTCGCATGATTTATATTCGTTTTTTTTTTCTTCTATGATTTTGAATTTCTCGTGTGTTACGTAAAATTCCTTGCATTTTTACACTATATTGGTTACACCTTGAGTGTTGTGACAAGTCACGATATGCGTATTATGACCATCGACGTTTTCCAAAATCCGTTACTGTAGCCACTCCGTCATACCCGGTTCCAATGTCCATTCATTTCACTCGATGTACAATAGGTGAATAAATAGGGATGAAAGTATGCAACTTAAATCTGGTATCTTATTCATACTGTATTTGGATGTTAATCCTAAAAAATTTATTGATGTCGGTAAGAAAATTGGACAGAATTATAATTTATGCAATAAGTTGTATTCTAAACCTTTTTTTTCAGAAATAAACTTTTTTATTTTCTTCAAAGTTAGGTACGGGAATAATTTCTTTATAGTAACATCTTTGTTCGGTCAATGAAAAATTCGTATTATCTAACGAAAGGAAATATTTATAGTGTAAAGCACGAGAAATCGCATGTATTTGAATTTTCTAATGTCTCAATTATAAATGCATAACCTTTTTCGATTTCAAAAAAATTAACTCACAACAATGACTGGTACATTTATAGAAAAATAAAGAATCTGCCAACTGTTGCCTATATTTCGAGAAATTTCCTTAAGAATTTGACGTAAGATAACCATTCGTCTTCAAAAAAGTACCAATTTCGCAACGCAACCGGATTATATCATTTCTTTCCAAATCGGGCAAGATTGTGATAGTTTGGATTGGTCAATAAGACGCTTTTTATGATTAATATACGTATATAGGCAGATGGCAACAATGGAAAATTTAGCCGGAAAATCATTGGATATCACACCGCATTCCACATTCCTCGTTTGTAGTCTATTCTACAGCACCGCATTCCACATTCCTCGTTTGTAGTCTATTCTACGGCACCGCATTTACCACAAGATCCGAGACCCCGCGTGCTATTTATCATAGAAAACGTCTTTTCTTAATAATAGGAGGATA